TGGCCGAGGCCTTGCGATGTCCCCTGCTGGGCCTCTTAGAGATGCCCCCAAGTCTCCTGAAGCTGCGTGTGGCCTGCAGGCCCAGTCCCGAGGGTGCTTGAGATAGGGCGCCACCCCCTGCCGTGAGCACTCCCCAGGCCACCGGGGACAGTCCTCGTGACTCAGATCTGCTGCCGCTGGCTGCCTTCCCTCCCCAGAGTGTTTGTCATTGATTGGCAATCAATCTTTCTCTGCTGGGAACCTAGGTGGGGAAGCAGGAGACAGCCACCCCGCCAGTGTCCCGACCCATCCACAAGGCCATCCCACTCTCTCAGCAGGCCGGGCCCCACCCCAGGGATTGGGCAACAAGGAGAAGCTCAAAGTCCAGGGCTTGGCTGGGTGAGCTCAAGGGGGTTGGACCGGGGAGCCTGGGCAGCCTGCTCGGTGAGCCCCTGGGCTGGGATGGTCCCCGGTCTGATGAGGACCCTGGGAGCAGCCGGTCCAAACAGGGCCACGGAGGCCCAGAGGAGGACCGGAGAGGCCCTTCCTCCGAGGTTTGTGCTGGGCTGGTGGGACCAAGGTCCGGCACACCCTTGTCTAAGGCCCGGTAGAAGGATAGGGATGGGCCAGGAGCAGCCTCAGAAGGGGCCCTGGTGCCCAGCTTGCGACTCTTAGTGACTGACTCTTCCACTGGAAAGCAAGGGCCCCAGATGGCAGCCTGAGGTCAGCAAGGCCGGGAGGGGAAAGCCAGCTGGCGCTCAGCCCTCTGCCCGGAAAGAACGGGACTGTGTGGTCACAAGGTGGGGGGCGGGGGCCAGGAGAGGCCCTGCCAAATGCTGGAAACCCCGAGACTCAAGTGCAAGGTTCCCCTCTGTCCTTCTGGAACCTTCTGGAACCTTGCCAGCTGTAGGGCAGCTCTCCAAACTGCACTCCCTCCTCCAGTCCCCCAAACTCCAAGCTCCCAACCCTTCCATTCACCCTGGGGCCCGCCCCAACCCTCGCTCACCTCCATTCTTGGTCCTGAAGCAGCTCCCCCTCCTGCCTCCTCCCAATGCCTCTCTTTTTTATCCTTGCCTTCTAGACCCCAGCCTAGGTGCCCACTCCTCCAGGAAGCCTTCCCTGACCACCACTGCCCAAGCCAGGTTCCATCCCCCTCTGGTCTCCCAGCCCCATTGCCCTCCACTGCAGCCTCAGGTGTCGGGGGGAAGGGGAGCAGAGGGCCAGTCTGTCCTTTATTCTGCCCCCATCCTGGCCTGGGGCTCATTCGGGGACGACCTCGCCTCAAGCCCTACTCTGCCCTGCAGTGCCCAGCCCAGCTCCAGGCATGGAGGAATTCCGCAACGATGGGTGATGAGCAAAGGGGCTGGTGAAGGGACAGATGCAAGATCCTGTCCTGCTCTTGGGAAAGCAGGGGCTCCAGAGCAGGGCTGAGCCCCGGACAGGGGAGGGGCCTTAGGCAAAGCCCCCTAGCCCACTCGGGGTGGTGGGGTGGGATACTCAGGCAGAACCAGCAAACGGCCCAGCCATGGCCCAGCCCCAGTGGCTCAGGCAGGGGGCTTCCAGACAAAAGCCTTCCCAGGGGTACCCCCCAGAGTGGGTAGCCAAACCCCCCCATTGGGCTAGTCCTGGAAGGACTGAAGTCCTGTCGGCCACCCTCAGGCCCCAGGGTGGGTGGCCTGGCAGCCCCAGGCAGACTAGCACGGCCCCGGGAAGGACACCTGGGGCTGGCACCCGGAGGTGTCCCAGCCCTGTCTCGGGCCGCCGCCTGCAGGTGGAGTAAGAGGACGCCTCTGGCCAGGCCTGCGAGGCCTGCGTCTGCTTCCTGGCGAGGCCAGGAGGGTGCGGGCGGCCAAGGGACTCCAGCCGGGCTCCAAGAGGCATGGAGCCCAGACCAGCCTGGGGAGCTGGCCAGGCGGGTCCAGCCTGGGCACTGAGCTGCCCAGGACAGGCTGCGGGTGGGCTCTAGGCTCCCCTCAGCTGTCCAGTGCCCGGGCCACTGAGCGGGCACCACTGGGGGCACCAGTTCTGCCACTCCCGGGCCACCAACACACACCTTCTGATTCCCAAGCGTCCTGGGAGGCCCAGGCTCGGTGACCTGTGTCTTCAAGTCCTGCCTGACCTGGACCTGCTGGGCAGGCCGGTGGCATTGCAGAGGGGAAGGTGGGGGCCCACTCAGACCCCAAGGAAGGAGGCCAGACAGGACCGCAGCAGGCCAGCCCCAGGGTGACTTCCTGCTCCCGGGCCCCTGCCGCGCGGGTCCCCCTGCCCTCTGGCTCCCCTCGTCTTGCCTTTCCGGCCCCTGGGGCCCATCCCAGGCCGGCCTCAGCCCCGGCCACCTCCCTCTCCTCCTTCACCCCGCCCTGCCCTCTGACCCCTTCCCCAGCTCTGGTTCACCCAGAAGTTCATCCAGATGTCTAACCCAGATTCTTGTTTTGTAACCCGGTCTTTCCTGTTCTGTCCTTGGTGAGGACAGATGGCTGCTGTCATCTCCACCCTGAGACGCGCCCTCCCCATCCTCTTCCACGTGTCTCTGTGCTGCCTTGGACCGACTGGGGGCCTCTGTCCCCCTCCTGGGAGGAGGTGTGTGAGCCAGGCAGAAGGAGGGCCCCACTGGACCCAAGATCAAATCCCAGTTCCGTCTCTTGCGCCTGTGACCTTGGACAGACCCTTTATGCCTGTGCCTCGATTTTCCCACCTATAAAACAGAGCCGGCTCTGACCTTTTTGGGGGAGGGTGTTGTGCAGGTGGTGGTGACTGTGGACCAGACCCAGTGCCTGGCGCGGGGCAGGGTGTTCCATGTACCTACACACTGGCAAGGCCCCCTCCTCGCCCCCTCACTCCCCACCCTGCTGGGGGGCAGGTGGGGCAGTCACAGCGGGAAAGCCCCTGCCAGTCAGGACGGGGGTGAGGGGAGCAGGAACCCAGGCAAGCTTGCTGGGGAAGGTGGGCAGGGACGGTAGGAGAAAGGACCCCAGGCAGAGGGCACAGCGGGAGCAGACGGGAGTGTGCGGGGAGGCGGACGAGCAGGTGCGGGAGGACCCGCTCACTGGTGGGCTGTCGGAGGGGAGCCAAGGGTCGGGAAGCACTCCAAAGGCCACACCAAGAAGCAGGCCTCTGCCCACCAGGGCCGAAGGGACCCTGCGAGCTTGGCTGCCAGACCAGAGCTGAGGGGACAGCCCTGTGGGGGGTGGCGCAGGAGGCCCACGCGGGCCTGGGTTTCTCCAGACCGAGGCGGGCGCTGCAGGGGCACTGCCGCTCCTGCACCCGTTCTGCAGACCAGGCAGCCGAGGCTCCGGGGGTGGAGGGGCCAGTCTGAGCCCTTGCCTGTCTCTCAGGCTGCCTCACTCAGAGGTCATGCTCCCAGAACAGGCCGCCTTCTGGGGCAGGAGAGTGGGGTGAAGCGCTGAAGCCCCTGAGACAGGGGCCAGGCTCAGAGCGCCTTGTCCCCAGGGAGCTGCCCAGGGCGCGGTGTCCGGCGGGGCTGCGCAAACTAGTGAGCCGGCAGAGGAAGGGTGAGTGGGTGGTAGCGTGGGCCCGGCGGTCCAGCCCTCTGGCCAGTGTCCCCACATCCTGCCCAGCAGAGGCCACGGGGCTCGATCCTGCCTCGGGGGTCTTGTGCTTGGCAGGGCAGGGCCAGGGCAGCCTGGGGAAGGGACACCTAGGCCCCTGCATGCCCAGAGGCTGGCTGAGAGCCGAGAGCCAGAGCCGAGGGGCTCCCTCAGGGATAATGATCCACTGTGTGCGGGCCACTGGGCTGCCCGGGGAAACGCTTCTGGAATATTAGCCTCAGAGTCGGGGCATGGGACTGGGGGCGGGGCGGTCCCCCCGCCAGGCCAGGCCAACGGTGTGGGCTTCTCGCCTTAGGCGGGGCACCGGAGGGTTTGCTGGAGGCCCAGGAAGGCTGGGGCCGGGGTTGAACTGCGGCCAAGAAATGAGCGCCGCCGGAGCACCCGGGCCTTGGCGTTCTCGAGCTCCTTCCTCATTCCTGGCCCCGGGGGAGTAGTTGGACCCCAGCGTTCCCCGCAGCCGCCACCACGGATCTGCTTACCGTCTCCCAGGGAAGCGGGACTCCTGCCAAACTGCCCGGACCTCGCCCAGGCCCGTGGGCCTCTCTGACCACCACCGCCCAGCCCAGCCCCCCCCTGCTCTCGGATGGGGAAACTGAGGCCATACACCAGGGAGGGCCACCCACAGGCTGCCCGAGCCTGGGGTCAGGGGGGCCTCTCTCCCAGCCGTCACCCCTCTGCACACCCTTGAGGCCAAGACGCCGTAGGCAAGCCCACCTGGTGGCCCCTCCGTGGAGACCTACCCAGGGCTGGGGCCAAACTCCTCGGGTGCCCAGGCGGGCACAGTGCAGACGGGGGCTGTTTGATCAGCGGTTCCGCCCGATGCCAGGCTGCTGGGATGGCGGGCAGTGGCCAAACCGGCCCCACCGCATGCCTTCCGGCCCTCGGCAGGAATGCCATTCACTGTCCTGGTGCATGGTTACCGCGGGCGGAAGAGCAGGCCTGGTAGCTAGCTGCCCAGGGGCCTTGGATGCCTTCCCTCGCCGGAGAGGGCAGGGAGCGTCCCCGGGGTGGCAGGGGTGGGGGGCGGCCCTTGAGACAAAACCCACCAGACATAGCTGGACCCTCCCAGGGACAATGAGGCCGGCTGGGGTCAGAGAGGGAGGCATGGAAGGAGGCAGATGGGGCCAGGGTCTCCTGGCTGGGAGTTCCCCACCCCCAGCCCCCACTCTCCTGAGAACAGCGCCCACCAGCTCACGGGTCAGCTCCAGTACCAGGCCACAGCCCAGTCCCCGAGCCTGAGTCCAGGGTGTCCAGGGAGGAGGACAGGCAGTAGGGTGGCCCCTGCTGGGTGGGGCAGGTCCAGAGGTACCTGGAGGAAAGTGTGACCACGGTCTCACCCGGGACCTGGGCCAGGTATAAGGACAGGCCCGGGCCAGGAGCTGGTCCTCAGATGACAGCCCGTCTCTGCCCTCCGGGGCGCCGCACAGACCCCACACACACCGGTGTCTTCGATTCCAGCTTTATTGGGGCCACTGCTCCCTCCAGGGGGGACACTGCCCGTCAAAAACCCGCAGGCTCTCCTCCAGTGGGCACTGCGGCCGCCCGGCGCCCACTCCCAAGGGGCGGGCCGCTGTTGATGGGCGTGAGGGGGGCGGGGTCTCGGCAGGGGCACTGGACGCTGAAGGACAGTGCCCCGGATTCGGTGGTGTCGGGGGCCCCGAGAGTCTGTTTCCAGCAGGAGGAGCTTGTCTCAGGGGATGGCACTCGGCCACCCACCCCAGTACCCAGTGTAGGTCACAATAATTTAAAGGACATTATAGACATTTTGACACTATATAACAATATAAGTTAACCAGGTCCCTTGGCAGAGGGCATTGGGCCTGTGGACTTGGGGTGTCCTGGGACCCGGGGGAGGAGGGGGCATTCACGTTGGCCGCGAAGGTCCCAGGACAGCAGCTCTGGAGTGTCCTGGCGTCGCTGGGGGTGCGCGGCGGGGAGCCAGGGCCCAGACAGTGTTACTCGCCCCAGGCCAGCGTCCAGCCCACTCGGCTGGTCAGCACCTGGGGGCACATTTCCTTGGGTTTCTGTGAGAAAATACCCTAAACTGGGGGTGGGAGTATGTGGGCAGTAGAGGGTGCACCAGAAGTCAGCACACACCAGGCTTCCTGGCAAGTCACGCCTCTGGGCCTCTGTCCCCCCAGGAAAAGGTGGGAGGGTGCACAGAGCGGGCGCCAGCCTCTCCCGTCCCACAGGTGGTTTAGAGCTGGGCTGGCCCCCTTCTCGCTCCTGTCTTCCAGATTTGGGGGTGAGCTGGATTTCAAGGGCGGGTCTGCACGGTGTGGGCACGCTGCGGGTGGTGTCCAGAGGGCCTTGCCCGGTGACATCTGGATCCAAGTGTCCTCCGCACTGGGGTCAGGGTGAAGGGTGAAAGGTGAAAGGGCCAGGACAGGCAAGGAGTCCACCAACAACCCTCCAAGGCACCTCTTGGAGGGGGGTTGTGCAGACCCCAGGGAGGCTGGCACGGGGAAGAGGCACAGTTGGGTTCTCAAGGAGTAGAGGCTCCTGTGGGGGACTCTGGCTAGCGCTCTGCTCTGGGCCTCAGTGTGCCCATCTGTCAGATGGGGCAAACACCCTGAGCTACTCCCAGTTCAGCTCTGTCCTGGGGTCTGGCTGGTTGCAGGGGGCGGGGGCTCTGTAAACTGTGAGGTGCCAGGCAGGCTGGCGAGGGGCTGGGAGGGCACATCATTCGGGAGGGGACACCGCCCTCCCAGGGCCTAACACAGACAACGCTTTGATCTGTTTGACAAGGTTTTCTAAAAGAGAAAGGGAACCGGAGGTCCCTGTCCAGAGCTGTCCTCGGGGGCCCTCTCAGGGCCATGTTGGTCACAAAGCTACCCCCCGCCCCAGCTCTCCCGGGGACCCGGGGCCGGGCCAGGAGGGTGCCAAGCACAGGGATGTCCCCTTGGGTCCGGAGAGGAGGCGGCAGGCAGAGGGGGTGCTGACAGAAAGCGCAGAGTTAGGACCAGCCAAGCCTTAACGCTGAGAGCCCTCTTCTGATACTATGGAAACATAAATAATCTTTCTCAGCATCTGCCCAGACCGCCCCAGGGCCCAGCGGCTGGGAAACAGTCTCCGGGCTGGGGGGTGGGGGAGGGGGCTGGCAGGGAGGGACACACTCTCAGAGTCTCCTCGTTGCTTTGCTTTCTGGGGATACGTGTCATTGTCCCGAAGAAAAAAAAGGCAATTCACTCGGCCCCGTCCAGGACGCGGCAGCTGGGTCCTGGGCCCTGTTCTGCCGCAGGAAGTGACGGGAATGGCAGGAAGGAGCTGCTGACAACAGGCAGAGGGCGACAGCCCAGCGGGAGCTCCACCTTCCGCAGCCCCCTCTGCCCCAGCCGCCGCGCAGAGCGGGGAAGGTGGGGAGCCCATGTGCAAACGCGGCGGGGGCAGCCTGCTCGGCCGCCCACTTCACTTGCAGGTGAAGACCTCGGTGCGCTCGCTGCAGGTGTTGCACTTGACAAAGCAGCACCAGTGGAACTTGCAGTTGCACTGCCAGACCTTGGTGTACTGGTGCGTGTTGTAGCCGCGGCCGCAACACATGGTGTCGCAGCCGTCCGCGCCAGGCGAGGTGCGGTTGCACAGGCGGCCCTGGGTGCCCACGCTGCCCGTGGCCGCGTCCTCCTCACAGTAGTTGGGCGACTTCTCGATGTACACCAGGTCCGTCTCCATGGGCTTCTGGTAGCTGCGCAGCTGCTTGATGCGCAGGAAGGTGGGCTGCCGCAGGCGGCTGGCCCGCACCACCTCCACCTGCACGGCCGAGTTGTACTTCTCCTTGAGCAGGTGGCCCACCTCGCGGAACTTGGGCAGCGTGGTCCAGCAGGTCTTGGTGGTGCAGGAGCCCGACACCCCGTGACACTTGCACTCCAGCTTCATGCGCTCCTCCAGGACCTGCGGGCGGGCCACAGGGCAGGGCTGAGGGCGCGCGGTCCAGGCGGGGAGGACCCCTTCCCCTGCGCCCCCCACGCCTCCACCTGACGAGAGCCGGCTCCCCAAGCTTCCCACTGTGTCACCACAGGGACGCGTCTCCCCTCCGAGCCTCAGTCTCCTCCTGGGCTGAAGAGGGCTGTGGGCCACAGGCCCCCACTGTGCAGGGCCTGGTGAGGGGCCCAGGAGAATATTCAGAACTCGGCAGGGCTGGGCACGCGGTCGCCCACACTGCTCAGTAAGTTCTTATCACTACCCTCTAGGGAGCTGGGGGTCAGTGCGCCATGGGAAAACTGAGGCTCGGTGTGTCGTGTAGGTCACAGGGCACCGGGGCGTGCAGCCAGGCTGCGGGCAGGTTCCTCACCGTGGTACCGGGCCCGGCAACAGTGAGCGCTTAATAGGCGCAGACCCCCCACTCCGTGTCTCCCACCCCTGCCCTCGGGCCTAACACGCCATCCCCACATAATGAACAGCCGCTGGCTGAAAGCCCCGTGTGCTCACGGAGTTCTGCGCACCACCTGTGCAGGGGGACGGAGGGGCGGGAGGGGGGGAAGCGCACGCGGCCAAGAGGCCCAGGTGTGTCGCCTGCTGGGAAGGCGTCCCCGACCCCTGTTGTTCCTTCTCCCCGGCTCCGAGCTGTGTTTTCCTTGGGCCTCCCTCGCTGGCCCTGGAAGGCCGATTCCCAGAGCCAGCCCTGACCCCCGGGCACTCATTTACCCGGATCGAAAGGGCCCTGCCAGCCGGCTGATTAAAGATGGGAATCATTAGCTGCGGCCCCCCGGCGGCTGAGGGGCCATTTGTCAGCTGTCCTCACTTTCCCAGCTGCGCTTCCGAAGCCCAGCCCTGGAGGACACTGGCTACCCCCAGTCCCTGGGGCCAGAGCGGGAGACCCACAGGACCCCAGGGATGAGAAGGGGCAAGGGGAACATCCCACACCTGCTCCCATCCCGACCTCCCTCCCCCGCCCGGCGGCCTGGGGCCCAGGACCTGGGTGAGTATATGCAGTGTGGGAACAGGAGGAAATGGACTTGTAGGACGGCCAAGTGCAGGGGCTGCAGGGGCTGCCAGGGTGAGAGTGCCTGGGGCAGGGGGCTTCCTGGAGGAGGAGGTGTGTGCACCCCCTGCTTATGGGGGAGGAGCCCCTTAGCTTTAGCGGAGGGGCATTCCAGGAGGGGTGCAGCAGGAGCAAGGCCTGGAGAGTGTCACCGTCCCCACCAAGGGCAGGTATGGCCCAAATGAACGTCACAGTTGTTGGGTGGGCCTGCAGGCTGGTGGCCTGGAGTTAGGGGGTGGCCTGTCCCAGGGGAGACTCAGAATTGGGATTGCAGGGCCACGGAGTGTCTGGGTCCAGGGCACAGGCCACAAGACTGGTCTGAGGGTCTGGGTAAAGTGTGCGACCTTGGTGGGACCCCACCACCCGGGGAAAAGTGACTCTGGGCCCCCTCTCTGCCTCTCCCCACCCCCATGTCCATCAAGGTCAGACACCTCCTTCCCCTCCTCTATGCCCTCCCCGTGCTCATCTTTGCTTGAACCCTCCCCTCTCCTAAAAGCCCCTCCCTTCGCCAAAGCTTCCACACTTGGGCCTCACTGCCGCTGTGTATGTCCCTCGGGCCAGGAGCTGACCAGGCGAATGCCCGTCTCAGAACCGCCAGCCTGGAGAACAGTCCACCCCAGGCTGCTGGCCCAGGAGACTTCTCCTAGACGGGCGGTGATGGCCAGCGGCCTGGTGGAGGTGTCCAAGCTGAAGGCTGTGCTGACCGGGTGGCCCGGGCCTCACCACCGTCTGCACCTCCCCTTCGGCCGACTGAGCAGCTGGCCACACCTCGCTGGGCCGCCTGCCCACACCCCTTCCCTCCACCCCCTCTCCCAGTCCTCACCGAGGCCCAACAGCCCAGCCCCCGCCCCCCGTCTGGGGACCCTGTGTGGCCAGGCCAGCAACAGCAGGCAGACGGAGCCCACCGGGCAGCCATTGGCAGAGTGAGGGGCCACATCCGCGCTTGGCCCAGCCCGCCCAGCCTCTCCTGGGAAGTGATCACAGGACTGAAGAATGTGCCGCTTCTGTCTCCGGCGCTCTTGAGATAAGAGCGACGGCGAAGGCGGCGCCAGCCCCCGGCCCAGAGACCACCTGGGAGGGCGCAAAGTAACCTGCCCTACCCAGAAGGGCAGGGGCCAAGGGGGGCCCCTTCCCCGGCCTCGCCCCCCCCCAGTAGTGTGGGGACAGATGGGGCTCCAGGAAAGAACCGACTTGAGTTCTTTCTGGAACAAGGGGTGCCCCCACTCCAGGAGCAGTGCTCAGTTATGGCCAGGTTGGGGGGGTCACAGGTTTGATGCACTGAAGTCCCGGGGAACCTGGAGTCCGGTGAAAGAATGCAGAGCAGGTCTCCACGCTCAGCCTGTCCAACACCGGCCCACCGGGTTGTGGTCAGCCACATGCCATGGCTGGGGTGGACTGCAGAGTGTTTCCCTCCACGAATGTCCACTCGGAACCCACAATGTGACCGTATTTGGAAGCAGGGACTTTGCCAATGTATGAGGGTAAGTAAGACTCGAGATGAGATCGTCCTAGGCAAGGGTGGGCCCTGAATCCGAGGACACCCACCATGTCCTTCTAAGAGGCTGAAGAGGGGGAAATACACAGGGGAGAGGCCACGTGGAGACGGAGGCAGAGGCTGCATGATGGGGCCACAAGCCAAGGAGCCCTGGAGCTCCCAGTGCGGAAGAGGCAGGAAGGACCTGCCCCGGAGCCATGGGGGGGGGGGCCCAGCCCCTCCTGTTCCTGGATTCTGGACTTCTGGCTCCAGACTGAGCGCGAATGGGCGTCTGTTGCTTTAGCGACCAGTCTGTGGGACTGGCTACGGCAACAGGTGAGCTCACTTCCTACTGCACTTGCTGAAGCCGCAGCCCTGAGAACGGGTGCGGAAGCAGGGGCAGGCCCAATGGGTCTGTGGTGGGGGCCAGGGCATCGCAGCAACCCGGGCTGACCACAAAGATCTGGACCCGGTTCTGGTGGGAACCCGAAAGCAGCCCCGCCCCCACCCACCATCTTGATAAGCGCGGTGAGGCTGAGAGAAACCCTCCCCTGCTGCCTCGTCCCCCGGGTCACCTGCCCAAGGGCTCAGATTGGTGGGACAAGCACCATCATGCCCTCGGTACCGATGAGGAAACTGAGGCTCAGTAGAGGAATGGGGTCAGCCAGTGCCTTGAGAGAGTCAGGGGCGGCGCTGGCCCCTGGAATCCTGGCTGCTGACCCCTTTATAGCCCCAGGGGGCACCCTGTCCCCGCTGGGCTCTCAAACTGCTGACACTGCCCCCCCAATAACCTCCTCCTCCCCAGGTGACAGCTTCTCGGTTCAGGGCTTCATCCTGTGCAAACCCTGCTGCATGCTCACCCTCCTGATCCTCGTCTCCCCGGCCAGGCCTGGGGCCCCTCCCAGGCCCCCAGCTCTCCCACCCCCATCTCCCCAGGGCCCAAGCCTGACTGCCTCCTGCCCAGTGCCTTTTACCATCTGAAAGTCCCCAAGCATCTCCAAGCCCCACGCCAGGCCAGCCCTGGGGTTCACACAGGACCTCAGGGCCGAATCAGACGCGACCTTGGCCCTCGAGTGGCTCAGCACTGCTCTCCCTCAGGGACCTGCAGTGCCACCTGTGCCCAAGGAGCCAAAATCCAACCTGGCTGTCGGAGCCCTTCACCACAAGGCCTGTCCAACCTGCCAGTTTCCTCACCCGCCTGGACACCCGGAGCCAGGCGGCAGCCTTGCTGCTCCACACCACGCCTTTGTCTGTACTGGTCCCTCTGCTGCGAGTCCCCTCCCCACAACTCTGCTACTTGTCCACCCACCCCCATGGAGCAGGGACCAAAGCCCAGTCTCGGGCCACCAGCAGCTCTGCAGCTCACTCTGGGCCCCTCTGTCCTCCTAGGTAACAAGGGTACAGTGAGACCTCCCTCCCAGGGCTGTGGGAAAGCCCCTGATCAGGACCCAAGCCCCTGCACAAGCTCAGAGGGCAGTGGTTCCACGGAGAGCTCAGCTATGCCTCCTCCTGCAGGAAGCCCTCCAGATGCCTGCAGCTAAGTGAATCTCGCCTTCCTCTCCACCCTTAGGCACAGACCTCGACCTGCCCGTCCCTAGGGAATAGTGCCCGCATGCTGTCTGTGGGCTCCTTTGAGGCAAAGATGGTCACTTGTTCCTTCCTTCATTTGTTCATTTGACCAAAATGTGATCACCACCCCACCGCACGGCAGCTTCTACATCTACAAGATCAAACGCTTGGCCTGGTGTCCAGGGCCTGTTCTGGCTGGCCCCTGCTCACTTCTCCAGCCCTGTCTTGCCCACCCTTCCTGCTCCTGCCAGCCTGAACCATGTGCAGCCCCGCCCCCCACCCAAGTGCCAGCTCCTTCTGCCTCTGCTTGTCTCAGCTCTGGCATGTCCTTCAAGGCTCCCCTTGGACCTCCCCACCCCCAGGGGCCTTCTGCTCCCCTTCCCACCAGCCCCCTGGGCTCTCACCGTCCCCGGTGTGGCCTTTGCTCCCCTCACGTGGACCCTGGGGGAGCTCCCATGGCCAGGCTCCTGCTTAACTCCTCTCTTCGCCCCATGCCCAACCAGGTCCGGGCACAGAGGAGGGGCAAGGAGCGTTTGTTGAATGAATGAGTATTGTGGAGAAATTTTGACTCCTCTTTGCCTGGAAAGGCAAGTCTGCCCCAGGCCCCTGTAGCCCCTCAGGCCCTGGCGCCCTGGGTGCAGCCCCAGGCTGGGGGACCAGACTGGAGAGGCGTTCTGCTCCGCTGCCGGTCCTATCTCTGGCCATCTTGCCGCCATGGTGGCCGCTCCTCCCAGCCCGGTATCTGGGGCCCTCATCTCCCTGAGGCAAGGCCAGGCCCGCCCTGACTTCTTCCCCAGTGTGCCCCGCCGGAACGTCCTCCACAATCACCGGACACACGGCACCGGCCCGTGCGTGTGGCAGGCCGCTTATCTGGAGCCCCCAGCTCGGGTTCCCCACTCCCCAGGCTGCCCGTCCCTCCTGGGAACATCCTTTCCTCAGGCCTCTCTCATGGCAAACTGAGCTGAAGGCCACCTCTGAGCCTTTCCTGGTATGTTGGCACGACCCCTCTGGGACCAGACCTCCCCCCACCCTCAGGTCCTCAGCCAGGTCCGGCTCCCATCCTGGTGCAAACCTCAGGCCCGCCTTCTTCCCCTGCTGGGAGGAAGCTGCGGGCGCCTCACTTCATCCCTCCCAGACTCAGTTTTCACGCCTCTGGGATGGAAATGGGAAGGCCCGCATCTTACACCTGCTGGGTCCATCGTGGTGACTGTCCCGCCCAGCGCACCCACACTGCACCTTTGGGGTCCGGGTTCCCAGAGGGAAGCGCTAGGGAGGTCGAGACCCCAGGGACCCAGCGACCACACCTAGCACCGCCCAGCTAGACGCCCACCACGCCAGCCCCGCCCTGCACTCGCCCCGCCCACCCCTTGCCCGCCAGCCCCGCCCAGCGCTCGCCACACCACGCCCCTTGCCCTCTTACCTTCCTGCCTGCCTCGTTGTTGTGCAGGTTCATGAGGCGACGCGCGTTCTTCTTGATCTCACGCGCGTCCACGAAGCGCCGGGAGAAGTCGATGCCGTAGCGCACGTCGGCCGAGCAGCCGCCCCACTTCCAGCCCTCGGCCTGGTTGTAGTAGCCCTGCTTCTCGCGGTCACAGCCGCAGTTGCTCAGGTTGCCCTGGCTGCAGGCGGCAGTGACCGCGTGGGCCACGCCAGCTGCAGTGATGGCGTAGGTGAAGGCGGCCTCACGGCTCCCTGCGGGAAGGGGACAGTGCAGCCGGTGAGGCGTCACGGGTCTCTGCGCCCTGGGCTCCGGGGACCCAGGCCGGCTCCCAGCCTGCTGTGTGGCCCTGGGCTCGCCCTTGTCCTCTCTGAGCTTCTGACTCAGCCAAGTGAGACTGAGGGAACCTGCCTGGCAGAGCTGTGGCCAGGACGGTGCCTGGTGTCCTGCGAGCGCTCTATGCATGTTGCATGTCCTATCCCTGCCACCAGCATATGGCACCCGTCTCTCCCTGGCCCAAGATTCTGGGCTGGAGGGGCCCAGTCTTCCCACCCATGTACACGGCACTGGGCAGCCCCCTCTCCCCTCCACCAGACTCCCAGCACTGCTCCTCATGGACCAGCACCCACTGCAGACCTCTGCCAGGGGGTGGGGGAGCGCCCACCAGCAGGGAGCAGGGCAGAATCCGTGCAGCTCAGAGCCCACCCCACCTCTTTGCTGCCGCCTCCCTCCCTCTGACCACCCCTGTCACCCTGTCACCAGGCCCCAGCCTCTTGAGTCGTCCTTCTCCAACACCCCAGCCTGCCTCAGGGCCCCCGAACTGCCCAGACTAGGGTGCCGGTCCTCCCTGCACCCCTCACCCCCTAGCCACTGCCAAAGGGGAACCAGAGTGCAGCTCCGGGCATCTCCCCCCAGCACCCCCCATGGCTCTCCTCTACCTGAGCTGGGAAGGGAAGGCCCACAGTCCACATCCGAAGTCTTGGCCAGTAGCCCAAACACAGCTGCCCGCCCCCCTCAGCCCTCTAGCCTTACTCCACCCAAAACAGCAAGTCTCCTTCCAGTGCTGCTCACATGCCCCTGGAGATTACCAGGTCTCTTTGGTGGAATTCCCTTCCTCTTCCTGCCCAGATCCTAACCACCTTCCAAAGCCAGTTTCCAGGCCTCCTCCTCCAGGCAGCCTTCCCAGACCACCCGCCAGAGTGAACCCTTGCTGCCTGACCTCCCCCACGGCAGATCTCACCCTCTCATTGCTCTTGACACTGTCCACCCGGTCAGCCCCCCACTGGGACTTCCTGGCTACGCGTGGGTCCCAAGGCCCCTTTGACGGACAAGTCCAGCTCTTCCTTATTTTGCACAGCCCTTGGCTGGGCCCCGTGCACTCCGGCCATGCTGGCCCCAGTCTCTCGGACCCCTCTCACCTCATCCATGAGCACGGAGGTGCCCTATGAGCTGAGTCAGGTCTGTGCGGCTCAGTGATGCTGCCCCAACCACAGTCCAGCTCTGATGGGCCGGGACCTCACTGCCCAACTGGGCAGTAACGGAGCAAGCCCAGCTTCAGGCTCAGGGCAGGGGGCGCATCTGGAAACCCCCGGCCCTCTCCTTACACAAGCCCCAAGCCTGCATCCAGGACTACCAGCAGGCCCACTGCTCACCCGACTTCCATGCCTGCTGTTGGAGGCTGGGACGGACCTCCAGACTAAGAGAGGGACAAGAATTGAGCCAGGCTCAGGCTGCGAACATCCATTGAGCACTGGCTATATGCCCTGCCTCGTGCTTAGAGCTCCCTGTGTACTCTGGGGTCCACCTCCTCACGCACCAGCCACCTGCGGGGCTCCCTGAGATGGGCCCCCGTTCTCCTGGGGGGCTCACTCTTGGTGAAGTCCTTGTTCCCCAGGGTGGTCTTCACCCTCGGCAGGGGTCCCTGTTCCCAGGGGGCTCATGTATGTGGGTCTCTGTCCTCAGGATCCCTTACATCCAGGGTGGAGACCAGCCACGGCGGGCCCCGTAGGTCTGGGGGCCCAGGACAGAGGAGGCTTTGGTTGGCCTCCGCCGTCGTGGAGGGGGCCACAGCTTCCTGGAAATTTCCTTCTGAGTAGAGCTGAGGGGCAGGTGGTTTCAGGCCTCCCTTCCTCCCCAGAAGCCTCGGGGTCCGGAGAGGGCACAGGGCCACCGATACCCTCCCAGGGCCTTGCGGGGGTCCAGCCTCCCCTGCCGCAGGGCGTTTCCCTCACAGCCTGGTCGGTGCACGGCCCCCTGGGAAGCAACCGGCCACAGGCCTTCGCCTCCCCACACCACCCCGTAGAGTCTCTCTCAGCACAGTAAGTAGCTCTCTGCAGAGCACGGAGGCGCCCGAGTCCCTGGGCCACTGAGGCTGGCTGACCAGGGACTCCCAGACAGACATAGGAACAGGGACGGGTCGAAGTTGGGAATCGACCTCCTCGGCTCTGAATTAGGTCACTACGATCTGAAGGGAAGTCTGGTGGGGGTGAAGTGGATACTGAACTCCTGGCTTGTTCCGTCCACGCCCAGCAGAGCCTGCCAACAAGCTCGCACACGGACACCCCCAGGCAGGGGTCATAAACTAGGCGGGGGGTTCCAGGAAAGAGGGGACCACAGAACTCTGCAAGAAGGGGCCACAGGGAGTCATGGAACTTCAAAGGATTCCCTACCTGTCTCTGTGGGGGGTGGAGTCTGGGAAGGCTTCCTGGAGGAGGTGACATCTTAAAGGAAGTCTTAATAAGAAGTATGTGTTAACTCCCTGTGAGTGGTGTGAGTGTTTGTGCATAGTGTGTGTATGCAGGGTGTGTCTGGTGTGTGCACTGTGAGGTCAAGAGTAATAAGGAAAGAGGTGGCTGAGGCCCAGGGGAGCCCGGCTATGGCAGGGCAGCGATGTTCTGTGAAGCAGATGGCACTTTCTGTGCAGGTGCTGGGGTCAGACGCTGTGGCCTTAGGACTTGAGAGCCCACTGGCCACTCGAGGAAGGGGGAGTCTCGAACTGTTTAGAAAGATAGCCGGTCTGCAGTGCGGTGCCCACATGGTCACCACTGCTGTCACTCACCAGCTGTAGTAACATGCTCAGCACGCCCTGACCCCTTCCCCTGCGAGTCAGGTTTCATTACACTGCTCCTACCTCACAGGGGAGGATGCTGAGGGAGAGGCGATGAAAGTGTTAGTGGCCAAGCCAGTATTTAAACCCAGGCAGTGAGACCAGAGCCCCGAGAAGCAGGGGCAGGGACTTGGGACCAGGGTCGTGGGTCACTGGGGGCAATCCTGCCCTGCCCCCAGCTTGGCTCTTTTGCAACTAAGGGACCTGGGCAGGAGACAGGAGAACAGCTTGCGCAGCCCTGGGGGAGGGGATGCTACTTTTGGACAGTCTCTGTCCAAAGAGAGTCTTGGGGCGCCGGGTGGGGGCTGGCGGCTAGCCAACAGGTGACTGCTGGGTGGAGAGCTCAGGGGGACCCAGCCAGCCTCAGAAAGGGACATGTCACCAGCTAGGCACCCGGCAAAGGGGGTGGGCGGACAAGCCTCTGACAATTGTGCGGTCCTGCCAAGAGGCCAGGCCAGGGCAGTTATGAGCCCGCACCACCAAGCCCTGCCCCGGCGGGAGCGGGCGGAGTGGGTGTTCCCTCGGAGGCCTGGAACCTGCCCGTGACCCTTCTCTTCCCTAAAAGCCCACCCTCCCCAAAGGAGTCGGGGGGCAGGGAGACTCCATCCTGGAGCCCCCAGACAGGCCGAAGGCACCCAGCAGCATATTTCACGGAAACCTCACTCCATCCTTCCTGTGAGTTTGGGCTCCCACCTGGTCTCGGCCATGCCCAGCTCAGACGCAGTTACTCATCTGTTACTCACCGGCCGCCACTCCCGCTAATTCCTTTCTTATTTGGTTTTAATGAGCCAAACCCTCTTGTCTCACCAGGGAGACAGGGGGCAGCTGTTGGGGAGAACCAGGAGGCTGGCATCAGGCCCTGGACGAGGGGTTCCCGTGCACCCGCACTCTGCGCACGCATCTGGTTTACTTCTCATGACAGCCGGGGATGAGGGAGGGGCCCCTCCCCACTGGGCAGACCTGGACTCGGGCTCCGAGGGCTTCGGAACTTGCACAGGTCAAAGTGTGCTCGGGGGTGGAGCGGGGACAGGGTCCCCTCCCAACATCGCTCCGGGGCTGCCTGGCCAGTGCCCCGAAAGCTGCCTGCATCTTGCTCCAGGGTGAGGCTTAGGTCCAGAAGGAAGCCCCTCAGACCTGCGTGGGCTGCACTCAGCACCTGTCTAGCTCCCAGACTCTGCGATGACCGTGAACTCCGGAGGCCCGACCCCACCTGTCCCCACGCACCACCACCTGCAGCCTAGCTCGGCCAGGGTGAACAGCCGGCCCACCTGTGGGCAGGGGCAGCCGCCCCCGAGCACACGCCGGCTCGCCCTCCCATGTGCCCGCAGCTGACCGAGAACTGGACGCACCTGGGACGCCTCCTGCTCCCAGCAGCCCTGTGGGGTGCAGTGACCCCCTCTGGGCTCTTGCCAGGTGCCTCAGTGGCTACAGAGATGGTGGGCAGGATCCCCCAGATGCTGTTCCTTGGGCCCCAAACACGGGTGGGGTGGGAGCCTTACACTCATCGCCTTCTTCCACCCCCATGAGACAGACCCTCTTGATGAGACCCGTGTTGCAGATGGGAACCCCGAGACTGAGGGCTGGGAGGGATTGGCTCCAGGCGGCAGCAGGTGCGGTGACAGGGTCTGGTGGGGGGTAGGAAGCCGGCTGAGCGGCAGCAGGTCAAGGTGAGAAGCGTTAGTTCTGAAGGCCCCGGCCTGAGGGTGAGAGACCTTAAAGAGCAGGGTGCTGGAGCTCAAGGCGAAAGAGGAAGGGACCTGGCATCTGACGCCTGGGTCTGGCCCCATGCGAGGCACACACCCTCTCTGAGGCCGCGTCCCCAACTGCCAAGCTGGGCTGCAAGTCCTCAGCCCACCCCGCACCCCAGGAGCGGCTGTGAGAGCAAACCCGACAGAGCCCCCGACCCAAGCGGCAGGCCCGTCAGGGCAGCCGGGCCGCGGGCCGCCGGGCACAGCCTGGGCCTCCAGCACAGGCCAGGCCCCTCTCTGAGGCCGTTCTGAGCCCCCTTTCCTGACCACCCCTCCACCACATTCCAGATAAACCCAGAACGTCGGGATGGCCGGGCCCTTGGAGCCCCCTGCCCTGTGGGTAACCTGAGGCTGCCAGGCCACCCAGCCAGTGACCTTGCGGCTCTGCCCCCTCTTTTCC